GGTATATCTGCATATTGAGAATCAAGATTTGAAATAAGCCAAGTCCATTCTACCAGTCTCTAAGTATGTTTTTTGATCTGGTATGCGGTACATGACATTTGACCTAGCAGGAACACCTTAAGGGATTCCCAGACTGTGTATTTAGCAATGTCTGGTATATCCTTAAATTCCAGGGGAAAAACCCTATTTGTCTTGTAGGATAAACAATGAAGTCCTCATCTTACAGCATTCAAAGGTCCAATCTCCATGTTTGTTGAAAAAGATGGCTGTTTGGGAGAACAGTAATCAATTCAGTGAATAGCAGAATGGTCGAATATAACTATGGCATGATATTTACAAGAAGATACTGGTGGGATGAGTCCCTTGTCTAGCCAAAAACAGTTGATTCTAGAATATGAATGATGGAATGGTGAAAAAAAAATTATTATTTAGAGGTAGGGTAAATTGTTTGCCATCGAGCTATAATAGGCATTGAGAAAGAATTATTAACTCTAGCAGAATAGGAGGGTAAGATATTTTGTCTAGTCCTACTAGATCTGTTCAAGCTTGAAGTCAGGACACAATCAAAATCGACACCAAGGATGTCATTGTGAATTTTGGAAAAATTATGAAACATCCCAGTTTGGGGTGTAAAGATTGGCAGGTATAAAGGGCATGTTGTGCGATTTGCCAGTAACAATGACACGGTGGCCATTAATATCAGAGATAATATTAGAGAAGATGAATAGAATGTTCTTCTTTATGAGTATCACTACTCTTCTGGATCTTACATTAAATTTAGAATGATATATCTGGGCAACCCAGTTCTTCTTAAATTTGCAATGTTCTGTTACAAAAAGATGTGTTTGTTGTAGATATGTAATATCCAGCTTAAAGGTTTGGATATGTGCAAATACTCACATATTTGAATTAATTATTTGTCTTTGACAGATGACATACAACTTGCTATAATCAAAGTGCATTGTAGGTTTAATTGCCTTTTTTTTTTTAGGTATTTTCGCGTTCTCTTTGGTTCACTTTTAAAGCATATAGTGGCAAATTACTTCAGGATGCTTAAGTTATTATGTTGCAGGGAAATGGTGATAGGACTGAATAAGTTTGCTTCTCTCTACTCCTTTTGAATATGTTGTGATTTCTTTATCACAGTGTTAATTTTGTCAGCAACTTTTATTTCATGACTAAACTGTAACAACATAATGAAAAAGATATTGACAACAAAAGACACAGCAAAAAAAAGTCTATTATGCTCTGACAAGGACAGATGTCAGACATATGAAATAAATACATTAAGTCAGTAACACGTTCTCAGAGGTGGAGCAGAGGTGGAAATGTAGACAAATCGTTCACCCATTACCTTGAAGGGATTATAGTGTCTGAACCGTTCACAGGTATACACACTTACACTGTAAGCAAGATAGTTGGTAATATCTCATATGGTAATATGAGGTTGGAGGCAGCAGTGCATTAGTCAGTGTTCTTAATAGGTAACAATTCAGCCAAATAACGGTTTCTGGCATCTTTACTGACTTTACCCGGATTAACACTGTATGGGAAAGCGCTGCGAAGCGTGCTGCTTTTCCGTGAAGAGCTTCCTGTCCCTTTCGGGGCCCCCGTACTGTGAAAAAAACAAACAAACAAACAAACAAAAAACCCATTAATTGCAGGTCAGGGACTGGACATGAACCCTGGTGTCCTGTGGGGCTCTCATGTTTGAATACTGCATGAGAGAGGCCCACTCTGCCAGTAATAATTTATCTGGATGGTAGATTGCTATTACGGAATGTAAAAAAAAACATTGCTGCGGAAATAGTTATGGTCATGAATAGTATCACAAATTGGGTTTGATATAATAAGAATCGTATTACCCAGTGCCTGGGCACATCTAACTGGCAGGAACCACAGAACAGATTGAGAACATGCTGGCAACATTATATATCTTATGTGGCCTGGGAATGCCTCAGGATCCTACAGAAAGAGCTAGAAAACATTGCTGAGGAGAGGGATTTCTTCCTTGCTTAGCCTGCTGCCACTGCTGCCCCCTTGGAGGATATTAAAGAGGAACTATCCCCATTTTCAAAATTCATACATATTATTCCTATGGTCTAAGACAGTCCAAAAATAGTATTAACACCAACATCTCCCTCCTTAATCCAAAAACTATCCGTCACTGTGAACTTTGACCCACTAACTTGCAGCCTTCACTCCAGTCAGCTAACCTCTTGTAAAACCCTGACCCTGAAGACCTTGAGCAGCCCCCTTTCCTGGGGACTCACCTGGCCATCTCCATAAGGTATCTGGGGCCTTAGCACATAAAAGGAGACAAAGGCCTCAAAGATGCCAACACCCTAAGCTGCCCTGTGCCACAGAGACTCGGGTGCCCAGCAACACCAAGCCTCAGCTGCCTAACATTCCCGAGCTGCCGCTGCCCAGCAACCCAGAATCTTCACAGCCCCACACCATGACTGACCCCCAACTGGGCCCCAGACTGGACCCCAAGTCAGTGTCCTGGTGATGTCCTGTCTTTTCTTCCCAGCTGACGCCAAGTCTGTTCTTTCATCAGGGGTCTGGACAAAATCCTGTCTGTCTGTCCTGTTTGTGCTTTTGCTTGGGGCCCCAGATGATGCCAAGAATGTTCCTGCTTCAAGGGTCCCAGATGATGCCAAGATGTTGGGCACTCCCGCTGATGTTAAGAATGTTCTTGAGTCAGGGGTCCTGTGAAATACAAATTGGAACTTGGGAAGTACTGTGGATCCACAAAATCAGTCTCCCATTCATTGTCTGTGGAACAGCTTCAGACTTTATGCCCTATGACATCACACATTTAAGACTTACTTCTCTGGTGTCTGGTTTTGACAGAGGGTAGTTCATGTTCACAAATATTGATTGAAAGTTCCTAGACCATGGAAATAACATATTGGAAATTAAATTATTATCTTTGTGGGTAAAACATATGACACAGGTGAGTTACTGTGGGTATGTGGATGGAAGTGGTCAAAAAGATTGCCTACTGAGCCTTTAATGTGATGAGTATTGCCTGTGCATGACTTGCCTTTTACATACAGAGTGTTGAACCTATGAATAGCTTATGTGCTGTGAGGCAAAGGTGCATGAATCAAAGCAAAGGTGTTGAGGAGATTCAACACTGTTTCTGTGTTGGAGACTTTCTCCCGCATTGACGTAGTGAGTCATCTCTCAGCGAGGTGAGCAGCAGTTGCAAGGCTGGACACAGGCTGGAAGGATGTGGAGCACCTTGGCTGCGAAAGCTTCAGAGCTGAGATCAGCCAGCCAAAGGTCTTCATTGCGTTTTTAAGTAGCCAGAGGTGCAGTAGTAAGATGACTCAAACGCCAACAGATGTGAAAGACTGTGCTGATCGAGGCTGGCTGATGCAACACTGTCAGATCAAACCCATGCTCGGTGAGTCAAAGCAGGGAGAGACACATCAGTGGCAGGAAATATGTAGATTTCCAAGCACAAGATCACATATGAGATGCAAACACACATATCGTCATTCAGTAGAAAACATTTTTGACACAGTAAAGCAATACATTCAACAATCCTATACCAATCCCCAAAAGGTCACTGTCTATACTCTTGTATGCTTCATAGCTAAGTGTTTCTTGTCTTTCATGCAGATTTAGCCATTGCATGTTGATGTGTGGGTCATTGTATGGCTAATCTATCTTTTTCTAAACTGCAGCCAAAATAATCAGAGCGTTGAATCAACACCTCTCTTAAACCATTTCAACACTAACTGAACATTATATACATTACATTAACATGATATGTATTGTGTTTTAACATTATATATGAGGGTAGGATTTATTGCAGAACTGTTGTATTAGACTGCAGGGTTTTAGGTTGACCCAACAGATTGACAACTTAGTGTATTTAGTAGTCTCCCATTCTTGAGAATTGGGACAAATTGTGTCCTACGTATAATCATATTTGTTTTATTAAGATAAATTTTGTTGTGTGAAAATGTTAGCCCTTTAAAGATGTTGCCAAGATTTTTGTCGAATAAAAAACATAATTCAATCAGGCATAAAGGAGTTAGCTATATCACAAGAACTCCTGTCTCACTTCCTGGTTTCTAATGCTGCTCGAGTACTGGTAAGCTTTTCATCTTTTTATTTATATTTTTATTATGGATTCATTAAATAATATTGCTATCAGGTTCGTCTCAACCATAACAGGTCAATTCTGTAGCCTAAACAAGAATTATGGTTAAAAAAATAGTATTTTGATAAGCATCAAGAGAACTCTTGGCAACTTTGAAAAATAAAATAGCTACTCATTATGACTGCTATGAAATTGATGAATATATAACTTTTAGTCAACTCCATCAGATCTTACCTCTGTAATCTGCTATATAGCTATGCTATTTAAGAGAAATTTCAATTAGTGGGAGGCTGGCCCATTACAAGGTCAAGACTGATCTTTTAAACTATATTTTTCCAGCATAATTGAAAATTAAAACTGGTTTTACCAGGGGCGTTGTAGTGGGGGGAAAATGGGACTGATTACCCAGGGCCCCAACGTACACTGTCATTTCTTTCCCCCAGAAAAGGGTTCCAAAAAAGAAAAGAAAGGAAAGGGAAATAAAGCAAACTGACTTTGTAATAATAATGATAATAATAATAACAACAATAATAAAATCCAAAAGGTGAATGAAAGAGACAAGAATTAAGAAAGGGTCAGTGGGGGGCCCACAGAAACTGCTTTTGCATAAGGCCCAGAAATTGGTGCTGCACCCTGGGTTTTACTACTTTTACCTGAGCATCACCATAGGCTACTACCTCAAATGAACGGCATTCAGAGGTAGTAGTAAATACTGACAAGGTAAAAACACGCGCAAAGAATGTGTGCTTTCAGGAAAATATTCAGTGAATCAATGTTAAAAACCCACGTTTAGTACCTAAAATAGACCAATAATTACGTGTGAGCTTCAAACTTTGAGCTTCATTTGCTTTTAGTGTGTTCCATTGGCCAACGCTAGGAGCTGTTTGTGGTGCTGAATGCACGGCGGCGGCGGCGCTGCCCTGAAGAGGAGGCTCCCAGCACAAAGCTCAGAGCGGGGCAGCGGCAGCGGCGGCGGCAGCAGCTCTACAGTCGAAAGGCTTCACTCACTGGAGTCAGTGCACTCAGTAGTCTGTGGCCGTGGCGGCGGACCGAAACTCAAAGCCCATCGTCTTTGTCAATGAGTAAATTCTGACAGCAAAGCCGGGCTGAAGTCACCGAGAGGAGCGCTTCGTATGTGTAGTCGGTGTTCGGCGGAGCTCTCAGTGTTTCAGTCCGCCACAGGAAAAGTGTTGATCCCAAGGACGTTCACTACTAAAAGCTTGAGAAGCGCAAAACGGAGGAAAAACGTGATGAACGCGATCAGAGATTATTATCCTCTCCTGCTTGTTTTTGTGGCGGCGGTGACGGACGTGGACGCAAAAGGTAAGAATTTTGAGAAAATATTAATTCAGTGGTTTTTAATTCTGGAGTGCTCAGAAGAGCTTTTCAGCCCTCGACCTCGTTACTACTGAATGAGATGTTTTTCATGTGGATTTTTTTGTCTTTACGCCCGGGAAGCTTTCCGTTTTCACCGTTTCCTTTTGTCAGTCTGTCCTCCATGTGCTCACACAGCTCACTGATCTTCCTCACAAAACACACTCCTTAATGTGACCAACACATCAACACTAATAGAGATGTGCTATTTTGTTATAATTCAGTCAGATAATATATGCAGAGCATACATATGGTACCTATCCTCAAAGCCTATTAAAGTTCAGTCAGAACACATTTCACGTAATAAAACCTACTGTCTAATAACAGTTACAACTTCTTATATGATTACTATATGGTTTCGTTATCAGTTTTCAATTTTCAAGGGAAGAAAACTCAAGTAGGCTAGGCAAAGAGGCTGATAAAAATGTCATTTTCCAGCCTTGGAAAAAACTAGAAGTGCTCCAAATGAATGCAGCCTATCTCCTAGTGCTCTTGTCACAATAGTGGAATGGCTGATAGTGTTTTTTGCAGCTTCCCTGCATTATTCATATCCCCTGACAAAACAGAGAAGGCTACAAAACATGGGTGATGTTAGAAAGTCATCTCCCTGGATAGTTGCAGCAATTTGAACAATCACTCAATATTTTTTCCTTTCCTGCACTACAAATTAAGTCCCAGAGATTGTTATTAAATTAGTTCTCACACTGCATAGTCTGTGCATCAGAAATGATTATCCAAAATTTCATACAAACTCCTCTTTGTGCTGGATAGATGACGAGAAATAAAGTTGGGAAGGGAAGAAGTTGTCTGAAGACAAACTCCTGCTCTGTCAGGCATCTTTTAATTGGATGTGTTTGTGTAGACACAGCTGACACCAGCTGACTCCACAACCTTGTAATTCAGGTTGTGATGGATGCTTACGCCTGTGTTTGTGTTTGCATAATCACATGGAATTGTGTTGACTGGTTTTGTACGTTAAGGTCTGTAGTCTGACTGCTGACATGCTGGTGAGTGTGTACACAAAGCAGGTGATTCATTGTGACAGATGGATTTAGCTGCTTACTGTATTCAGTCTGTATTCAAATACTTAAAGGCTTGATGATTTTGATGATAGGAAGCGAGTTTCATATACAGAATCAACCATTAGAAATGTAATGAGAAGTTGAGCAAGTCCTTGTTTACTAACTGCAAAACGCAACACTACAATAATTAGTACTGTATGTTCTACTGTATACAATAAGTATATAGGGTTTAATCAGGCTGCAGGCTGATGTGTGGGAACTCACAGGATCTTTGAATAACTAAATGGAGATCTGTGAACTTCAGTTAAGCTCCTGACTTTTTCTTACAAGGACATTTTTTTGGTCACAGGAAGATGGTAAAAACTCTAACTTTATTAAATTGTCATATTTAATTTGGTTATTTTTTCAACCACTTCTTTGTACACTTACATTAGTAAAATTTCACAGAAAGTACAAGATGTAATTTCTAACAAAATACGGACACACATGTTACATGATCCAAAGGATCTAGGTGGAGAAAAATCGGTGACACTTTCTCATCAGACACCCATTGTGAAGGATTTATAAGCTGTAACTAATGATGCTTTGGGGGTGTTGTGATAAAACAGGTAGCCTATTGACAATAACCCTGGTATTTAAAAATGAAATATGGGTACCGTGTTAATAATACACATATATTAATATGTTGTAAAAAATCCAGCACCTCAAATCATTTCCGTTTTTTCCCCTTCTCACTTTGTCTCCCTCCCCCCAATACCATCTGGTTGCCTTCTCACTATGCATTAAGTGTAACTGCTCTTTTTGTACGATTTTGTACAGTTATGGTTACAGACTGTCTCTCCACCAGAGGTGGTTCTAAAATTTGAGGACCTTGAGGGCTTAGCCCTGTCCCCTGTGGGGGGTCTGGGTGGATCCTCCCTCAGGAATATTTTGATGAACAAGCTCTATTGTGAGGCTTTTTTTAATGCACTCTGGCATATTATTTTATATCTTAAAATTAATATTTACTATTGAGTAGAAACAGAATACTTTGCAACTGCTATCATTGAAAATAAGAGAATTTAAGGTACTTGTAAGTGAGTATTTCTATTCAATGCTGTTATACTTCTACTCCTCTACATCTCAGAGGGAAATAGTGCATATTTTTTTACTATACACTACATTTATCTGTCTACTTAAGGTACTTTAAAGACTCAAATTAAAAATACAAAATATGATCAACTAATAAAATATGATGCATCATTATAGATTAAACTACTCAGCAGAATATATAAAGCCTTTAACATTAAAGTGATTACTGATGCACTTTCTCTCTGTCTCTCTCATGCATGTGTTCACACAAAATGTGCTGCTTTGATGAAACAGAGGACTCCAAACTTGCGTCTTTGATTAACTCTATTATATTATTATTGAGGGCTTTAATGCATGGACAAAAGACAAATAAATCAGATCTGTTTTTATTATTCAGCCCATTTTTATCTTTGGAATATACATAAAGCCTATATATTTAGATTTGCAGCTTTTAATAAAACAATTGGGGCTGGAGCCTCAGACGCCCAGGCCTTACAATGCCACTGCTCTCCACCTACCCACACTGTATTCTGAGTGTAATTAATTTGCTATAAAAAAAAAGAGAGAGAAAATGCACAATAAACAAAGTTAAAGATGAACTGACTGATAGCACTGTTATCATTATTTCCATTACAAATTGTTTTATAGATATCATTATACTATTGTTATCATGGCCACGATAATTGTGCAGTGAAAATCTGATATCATACCAGCTTTAATATCATTATAGTTTAACTTTTGGGTTGGCTTCATCTGTGTATGCCATGTTACCAAGTCATTAATAAATGGTTATAATAATGGAGCCAGTCTGCTGCAATAAATGTTTGGTTGTTAATTCATTTTGGTCCAGATGATGCCCATCTGAAACCTTTCTGTGGAAGATCAGAGGTCAGACTGTTTACTGGAAGAGTCTCCCTGAGTCTCCCCCTGGAAACATACAAGTGGGTCCAGAAAATGTGCAATTTCTCAAAACTAAATAACAAATATAAATGATCCAGCAGCACTACATCACTTATTTCCAGGCGCTATAAATCAAAAATAACATAGTTTTACACAATGCGTGACACTCACATTGTTCCAATTCTTTATTGAAGACATATAATTTGTGTACTGAGTGTAATATTCAAAACCCAGATTTGACCCTGTTTTTACAGCTTCACTGGTACACCCAGCTGAAATATTAAAAAATGAATTATGGGGTCGGTGGATAACCCTAAAAATCAAGTTTTTCAGCATAAAGAAATAACGTTTGTTTCATTAAAGTGTTTTTGTCAGTTGACAAACATTTTAAGAAGTCTGTCATGATCAAAAACATTTTTTGATATTTTTGAGTAGGATGGAATTACTAAGTAAAATTATCTTAACTAAAATAATTTGACCATTAAATATCATTGCAACTTTTGCATTAATATTAAGTTGGTTCAACTTATTAAAGCTTTTCGAGGTGAAAGCAAAATAATCATGCTGGTAGTATTAAACTAATGGAGTTTGTCAGATTATAAAAGACTCAAAGGACTGACTCCATAATGCCAGAGTTAAAACTACTTAAAAAAGATGCAAGCAAATTGTTACCTTCCTTTTTTAAAATTATTATTATAAGTTTTTAGTTGAACCAGTGGAATTCTTTTTTAGAGTGTTCTCTCTGCTTTGTGGATCATTTTAGACACATTTCCATATAACTCAGCCTGACATGTTGGTATTACTGGAAACACTGGGATCCTACAGAGAATGTTAAACTACATGTTGTGGATCTGAACAATGCTTGGCTGCTCAACTTGTAAGACTCTACCTACTAGTGGGTGTGGCATGATTTGAATGGTTTAGGCCTCTGTTTGTGTGCCCCAGCTTTCACATTTTTTAACATTAGAACCCTCTGTCATAGTAATATGCACACAGTATATACCAAAGCATCAACTCTATCGCCTTTTTAGGTTTTGGCCATGTACAGTAAGTCTTCTCGCTCGTCAGTGTTCATCTATCATCAGCACTGTTTAGATTAATCAGCTTTATGAGATGCTATTCTTGCTCTAATAGACAAGCATCACCCAAGGCAAGTGATACTTCACATTAACAATGGCCATCCTTCACCCTGCCCCCTGATTAGCCTGTAATCAGCAGTGCCAGGACCCTGCAGCCTCTTCATCTGGCTTCTATGTCTTGCTATGATACTGATTCAAAGCTCTTCACTGTCACTGATGCACAAAACAGCTCGCTCTTTCAGAGCTTAAAAAATACCTTGCCTGAAACAAATATAGTGTTTTTGGGGAAGCAGAATGGCAGAGACTAGAGACACTGTCATTTTCTGGATCATGGCTGACTGCAGGGGTGATGGTCTGGAGCTGACCTTGACCTCTGACCTCTCTAGAAGGTGGACAATCTCCCAGCAAGGGTCTTTAACATTATGTTCCCCTTTACAAAACACACAATTTACAAGAGGAATCTGGTGATGCATGTTTTATCCCATTTATTACAGATCAAAAATACTGTACATATGAAACATCCTCCAAAGCATGTCACACTGTTTCCTGTTTTGAATGTCTTTGTTTTTCTGCTCTCCAGGCAGCCAATTGTTTCCATTCATGGCTGCATGGTATGAAAATCAATTTGCACAGGCTGGAACCCTCACACTGATCTTTATGTCTGCTCTGTTAATACAGCACAAGCCTTTCAAATGAATCTGCATTTACAGCTACACAGCAGTAAGTCAACAGAAGCAGACGTGACATTCACTGTGATGGATACTACAGCTCCAAAGTTATGTATATTTTCTGTATGTTGAATTTTATGTTTTAAAAATTATTCAGTGAAATAATTGGCAAAAAATAGATGAGTAGAAAGTAGGAATACATACTTTGG